ATGAAGTGACTGTCAGTCAGTGAATGTTGATTTGATCCATAAATATAGCGATCATTTATTTTACAAATCATACAGAATCACTAGAGTACACTTGATTGTGAACAAATAATTTCCTATAAAAGTTTGGGACCAACAATAACAAGCTTTTCACTTCTTAATTGTTAACCACAGGCACTTTAAATAGAAACACAAACATCTAGCTTTGATGTTTGATACCAGACAATTTGAGGCAATTATCTTACGGTTGGCATGGAAGAGTTTAAGAAAAAGGAGGAAAGTATTGTGTTAGCATTCCTATACTTTTATCTTAAATAATGTGGGTTTTAACCAGAAGGGTGAAGTGTTCTACTCGGTGTCGGCAAGACAGAGAGGTCCATAACAGCCAGCTTTTACCTTAAAGATGATGTTCTGACACCTGTCCAGATAATTCAGGGGTGCTGCTAGAAAATCCGTCTCAGGACCGTTAAACACGGAACCCCAAGGCGTGTTTTTTTCTCGCTTGCGTCCGCGTCAAGCCATAGAAAGAAGGCGACCCCAAATTGGAAATCGGCTTCAAAATAAAACTTCCGTCTGAAAGTTTTCTGAAGTGGATCGACCAGGCGTTGGTCTGAACCAGGCTGTAAAGTTTTCCCCGTTGGCATGAAGGGGTCAAAACCTGTCAGCTCAGCTTCTGACTCTCAGAGTCTAGCTGTCAGAGTGACTGACGGCGGTCCGTCACTTACTGCCGTCCGGGCTGAAACTGTTAKTTACTAAGAAGCTTAGAGAATCTAAGTTCTGCCCTCCCCAAGGTTAGATTAGAAAAGGGGTTATCAAGGAAAGTGTTAGTATCAGAACTTGCCATCGCCTCCTGAAACTAAACAAAATTGTTGCTGCTGTGTGATTCAGAACAAAACATTTCATGACCTATATTAATTATCATCTAATGAGGAGTCTTCAAAACATAACGGAAAGAAAAATGCATTGTTTCAAGTTCAAAACATTTGCAAATATGGTTCAGACAAGTAAAACTTTGATATTTCATCAACTTTAAACCATAAAGGTTRTTTTAGTTAAATAAGATTTTTTTCCACAGAAAAACCATACATAGCTGAAATCATACTGAGGGAGAAAAGAGATCTGTCCTCTYTTCTCCTGTAACTTTGATAAACATTCTCTGATTATCAAAATGCGTAATACTTTCAGTTAAGAGAACAATAAATCAAATAAGACGAAGATTCTTCTGTCTATTATCTGATTAAAAGGGAAGAGAATGTCTCTTTGAAAGGTCAAGGTGACCTGATGTGGCCTAAATCCAATTCTAAGGGAACAGAGTTTTATCCCTTAAAAGGCCCATCAGAGGACTGAGAGTCTAAGACAGTTTCCTTGATAATTTCACTCGAGGTGACCCCTACATTATATTATATTATATTACAGCACTACTATGATTAA